TATTTCATCGGATGCTTTCAGTGGAAAATACAGTGGGGCATATTCTCTGTGTATATAAATCTCCCCACTGTATTTTCCACTGAATGCATCCGATGAAGTGAGCTGTAGCTCACAAAAGCTTAGGCTCAAATAAATTGGTTAGTCTCTAAGGTGCCACAAGTACTCCTTTTCTTTTTGCGGATACAGACTAACACGGCTGCTACTCTGAAACCTGTTAACTATAAGAGTATCCTTCCTCTAATGGACATATGGTAAGTGGCTCTTTATATGTTTTGACTGGAGAATTTTGTTTCCCAATATCTGTAAAATCTATTTTTTTTTTTTTTGCTTGTCTTGTTTTTTGCCCAGGTGTGAAAGTTTTTTCACACAACTCCTATTCGCTGAAGAGTGACTCTAAACATTGCTCCATTGCTGAAATGTTTAAGGGTTTCTTGAAACCAAAACACAAAACTATTTCTTTCTGACATAATTTCATGGTTTATTCAGAAAACTATTCAAGCATGACACGGTATCATTAGATATTATGCAGCCATTGCAAGGACACTGATTACTGAAATAAGAACTCATTTTCTTTAACAGTATATAAAATTAAGAATGACTAAAAAACTGGTTCAAAAATATCATTTTAAAAGTGCAGACTATATGCAAGTATGAAAAAAAAAATTCCAACAACTTTCTAATGAGGAGGGAGAAGTATAAGGCCTAATTTTAAAGCTGCAATGAGCACTTGCAGCTGCATTGGCTTCAATTGAATTTGCCAGGGTTTAACACTTTGGGAAATAGATCACGAGCTCACTTGTTGAACCTGCTCTTTTTTAGAAAGTTAAGAGACACTATGATACTGTGTTTTCCAAACTGAGTATCTCTAATCTTGTAACTGGCTATGCTGTATGTGGAACTAGAGCACAGGGAACGGATATTCATCGCAAGGACAAAGTATGTAACTTGTTAATTACTTTGGCTCCCACTAATACGTTATTGAGGGAAAATGCCATAGATCAATTCATTCCAGTACAATATTTAATTAAATAAGGATCAGCATAAACTCCATGAGTAGAAACATTCGATTACTCTTCTAGGGCAAAATGAGACATCAGCTTGTTGCTGTTGCCCTGTTTCCAGTTTTTCCAAAAAGACATCAATAAAAATGAAGCTTTCAAAAATTAATTTGTATGCACAAAGTAGTTTGTTAATGGTTTATTTTCTGCAAATGAAACAGAATCAACAATATTTATAGAAATAGACCTAGGCAGATTCAAAAAGTTTATAAAACAAACTAATTCCACTGACCCACCTGTATTTTATTCTTGTATATCTGCCTTTACCCTCTCCCTTTTCACTCTTACTATTTAAAAAAATAATTCTGTCCCTTGTAAGACAAGATAAATTGATTTTGAGGCTAATTAGCTTTTAATGATAATGCATCACACAAGATGGGAATGGCAGCCATTTCTCCCTCATTAAAGATGGAAGGATAGCCCAGTGATTAGGGCAGGGTACAATTCCCTGCTCTGCCACAGAATTCCTACATGGCCTCAGCTAGTCACTTTGTCTCTCTGTGTCCCAGTTTCCCTTCTCTAAAAACTTCCCTAACTCACAGAGGGGTTGTGAGGACAAAGACATTAAAGATTATGAGGCATTCAGATACTATGGTGAGGAGGGTCATAGAAATACCAAAAATAGACGTATTTCTGCCATTGAATCCAACTTTTTTTAAAAAATACCCTTTACTATTATCATGTACAAACACTTATGAATAAACAAGGGGTGATGAATAGCTCTGCAGACATTCAAATACTTCTGAATATCAAGTGTCCAGTGATCTAAAGCTAAAGGAATTATTCTCATACTTGACCACCTAATTACCACTGGGAAATATGGAACACCCCACTCTTCTTTCTTCTGGTACCCGGAGCTACATTTGATAAATGTAATTTTCAGCTACACTTTATATTCAGTCGTATGTGCTCTGTACGGCATGTCACATTATATTGGAAATAATCTGTGATTGCTCCCAGTACATTGCGTTATATCACATGGCTTCTGCTAGTGCAATCTCACTTGATTTGTGACCCTGCGGCACACTACCTAAGAAAATATGCTTTAAAAATCATGGAGCACAGCTCCCTTCAAGATCTGACCCATTGATAATAATGGAAATATGTTTGGAAGGAATTGGCTGTAGTTATGAATAAGCCAGTTGAGTATTTATATTTCCTATTTGTGACTAGACTCTTATTTAACATCTTTATAACTTAATTATGGTAGCGTTTAAAGGCTGACCAGGGCCAGACCTTATTGTGAGAGCTGTTGTAGAAACAGGGAGTAAAAGAGAGCCGACAGACAGCTTATCGTCCAAACCCTTGATCCTACAAATGGATCTGTGTGGGGGTATCCTTTGTGCCTGTGTGAAGTCTCATTCACTTCAATGGGGCTCCACATGGACATAATGGGTCCAACAATGCAGAACTGATTGCAGGTTGGGGGTGTAATGTATGAAACAGAAATACCCATATTGTTCAGTTATCTGTACCTACAGTATGAGTTATTACAGAGCCGCTAAATCTTTACTTTAAACCCATTCTAATCCTTTTGATAATCATGCTGCAATGACCAATATAATAATCTCCCTAAATTTCAGGCATATCAGATAGAAGGTAACAGAGGAATTAACAAAAGAAGAGAGAACTTGGTAGACTAGTTGTAGAAAGGGTTTTATAATGCCATCTGACCTTCATTATATTTAAGCAGCAGTGTGAGTTATACCTCTAAACCTCTCCCTCTTTTCTCAGATTAGTTGCTCACACCAACTCTAATTCTTCGTTGGTGTAAACTGTTATCAATCCACTGACGTGAATGGAGTTGCGCCAATTTGCACAAGCAGATAATTTGGTCCACTTAATTTTCTTTCTCCTTTTACAAGGAATGCTGTTTGGATGGCTCATGATGATACTGGGGAAGCTAGATATAATCCCTGATATGGAAGGCAAATTCTAAAACGAACATTTATAGTTGCGCTCTGACAACAGTTTCCTAGTTGGTAGGTAGCTATCTTCCTACATGCTGGTTTTCACAATGTTTCTGTCTTGAAAATTTCACAGGTTAATGAGTGGAGAAGTACAGTTTCCAAAAGAGAGATTGTACGGCAAATCTAAATAAATACAGAAGAGACTACACCATTAAAATTATTTTAGAGCAATGCAAAGCTGATTGGATACACAGACCCAATGTCAGAGCTGTTGTAAGCAGGTACAACACTGTTAGGACTGGAGTCTGCCTACAAAATCTTCTTAGAACTCCTAATTTCTCTCAATTCAATTTCCCCCCATTTTTATGCTATCCCATAATTCTTAATGAGAGTTATACATTCCATGCATTCCAGGTAGGGCTGAAATTGAGAGTTCGTATAGGTACTCATTATGAACGGTCCCTGTTGTAAATCGAAAGGAACACCTTTCAAGTCAATGGAGTCATGCTGGTATAAAACTAGCATGAAATAGAATCAGGTCCTTCATCCACATAATTTGCTTTTGAACTGGTCCAAATGAATTCAGAGGTTAACTTGTATTAGACATACAACCAAATTGTCAGAAGTGGCCACTTGTTCCAAGTGCCTCAACTTCTGGATGCCCAACTTGAGACACACTGGTCCTGATTTTTAGAAGTCCCGGATACTCGCAGCTTGATGTAACAGACCATTTGAAAGCCATTTGCAGTAATTATCCTGCAGAAACTGTTTCTTCACAGTAATTATCTAGAGGTAGGTTCTCTGATCTCTGTCAATTAACCAGTTTCCAAAAACTTCAATGATATCTAAAGGAACGCCAATGAATCTGGAGCACTGCATGTATTCCCTGCTGCATTCATGATTTGCTCAATACCAAGGTCACTTCTGATTGAACTTGGAAGAAAGAAAAAACAGAAATCACAAAGATGATGAAGGACAATCCTAAGTGGGGGGTCTCTGGAGGAGAGTTCCATTTGTGTTAACTTTAGCTCTTGCCACTAATTCTGGTAGAATCCAGATTTTAATTGCTTAAGTGAATTGTTCACGTCCTGCATTTTGGCTATGTCAGATTTTTCTGCAGGGGACAAGCATTTATTCAGCCACGCAGCTGTTCCAAGACTGATATCACTGCTTCTGCCACTGTCAGAACAGACAACATTTGTGAATAGTGGTGTGTGCATTATAACTTATAGGGTCACTCTGTCTGTGGGAGCATCTCACTCCAGAATGCCTTAGCCTTAGGACATACTTCACTTTTTATTGGGCAGGTGTATTTATGAGTTAAATTGACCTGCTAATTATTACTCTCATCTTGTTCAGCTTTGGTCATGACAGCTTTAGCCTATTATTTCTCATATATACACTCACTATTTCCCCCCATCCCTCTCATCTCATCCCACTATTTCTTCTTCTCATTGCTGGCACAACAGCAGTGATCCAAATGGCATGGAAGATAATTAATTGGATGTATAGCCAAATACCACCAATACAATTCTTTCTTGATTGTTGCTGAAACATCCCTGGCACATCCACAAATCCTCTAATTCTCACCTACTGTGGAATCCATTGCCAAAACCCCAATAATGTGGGACACTAAGTTTCCACATTCAGTTATATGAGAAAATTATGACTTTCTGTTCCCCTCACAGAGCACTTATGATTTCCACTTCAACCCTTATGTAACAAAGTGTATTATTTCCAATGTGTTTGTCCCGTTCAAAGCGTTACAAAACAAATTCCATAGTAAAGTGTTATTACATTTGAAATTGTTAAGTACCTACTGACTACAATGCATACAATGTATACAATGATGTTCATTATTTACCAGTCTGATTTCATTCTGGGTAACAATGCTCATGGATTTAATAGCTTCATAAAGTGTCGTGCCAGAATAAATCACCCTCAAAAATGTATCTCTTAGAAATAATATGTAGCACACAGTCATTTATCACAACTGAGGTAAGATGGAAACATATAATAAATGATATCCTACCTTTGAAGAAACAGTCCTTGCTGTGGATAATGTAGATTTTCTTCCTCTGCAAGCATGAGGCTCGGTGGAGTTCACAGTGATTTTCATAAAATTTGCCATCAGATCCACAGACTGGCATATAACTGGGCTTGCAGTCTTCTAGGCATTTGCATTCAGGCTGATTAGTCTCCTTGTTCACAACACACTTACTTCCCCGGCCACAGTATTTTTTTTCGCATGATGCATGTAGGCCATCTTGCCCATAAAGCACTGAAAAAGTAAAAAGCTTAAACATTAACTATATTTCCTTAACAGAATTGAACAGTTCTTTTGTTTTAGCATGTACATTCCAAGCTTATAGAATATAAGGATTCCAAGGATACATGGGCATCCCATGGACAATATTGCATCTGTGATACAGAGAGTATCTTCATACACAGGCTAGCAGTTTTACAGCCCCCACTGAGCAATGCATTAAAGTGTGTGCTTAAGTGGTTTGCTGAATAGTGATTGGCATAAGAATGTGGTTAAAGGTAAGCATGTGCTTTGCTGAACCATGGTCTTCAGTTACTAAAACCTATCCTATGTTCATTCTGCAGTTCTGATGTGGTATTTTAAGACTTTGTTGGGATTATATTCTTCCTTCCCAACTTAAACATTGAAAAATTAATGTCTATTGGCCTGTATAAGCATCGATGACCAAGCTAGATGTGGATCTTTTTTTCTGGTAAAACTAAAGGTTCTTGAATTCAAAGAAGTCTACTCAGGTATCACTCACTTGGGCCCTCTCATCTGACACTGGCAGAACCCACAGTGGCTATCAGTGACGCAATTCAGACTCTGAGAGCTAGTGAAAATTAAAAAAAGAACGAAAAAATGTGTAGGACCGATCCATAGCAGGGGTCAAAGATTAATCTTTTTTGTGTAGGGTGGAATTAATCATATTAATGTGCTAGCTTAACTTTGTGGCAGATACTTTGGTTCACACTGGCTGTACCGTATATTAGGGGTGGTTAGTTCTTTAACTTCATTCTAGTATTTTGCATTACTTAGTTATATGCAGGATAGATACCTATTGGCAGATCTCTTATAAATGTATTAAATAGATATCAGTAAAGAACTCACTCTACAAAAGCAAAACAGATATTTATTAACTATTAGTTAATCCATTGCTTTTATTTCACTTTTATATCATAATAAACAAATCACTCAGATACTCTAACCATGCAAACCTCCATTTAGCACCCCATGTACTATGTGCCAGACACACTGGTATCCTCACCTATGCTGGCTATCAGCTTCCTACATGGGTGACATTTTCAAAAGTGCTCAATGTTGACCTAACTCTGCTTCCAGTGAAGTCAATGATAAAATTCCCATTGACTTCAATGGAAGCAAAGTTAGGCCAATACTGAGAGCTTCTGAAATCTCCCTCCTGCAAGGAGTCTCATCAGAGTCAATGGAATTACTAATGGAGTTAATTGCTTCCCAATATGAGTGAGGCCATCAGCACCGGGCCCTATGTAAATATAACAATAAATAATGTCTAGTTTCTTTTAGGTATTAGCACAATATGATGAACTGAACATTACTTGTATTTTCTATTGTTTTATGTTATTATAAGCCTAGGAAATTTAATTCTAGGCTGTAATAGCACAGCACCTAAAATTTCTGCACTGAAGGGCTTACAACAGACCTATTATTACTATAATTTATAGAGGACAGGATATTTTGAAATAAGCCACTGTACAAAGAGTAATAACTAGCATTATACTCAATTATGAGTTTTGGAAAATTAGAAGATTACTGTGCTGCATTAATTGCAATAAGCATAACATTGAGAATTACAAAGGGATGTTGCAGAATGAATAATTAAAAAATGAAGGTAGTTTGGTAACCAATGTTTTACTGCAAGCTTTAATTAATCTCCCTTGTTGCCCATTTATGATTTCCCAATACTACATGCTGATAGAAAATGCAACAGTGTTAAAAAGCAAGACCTCTGAATCCATTGCAAACACCAAGGGGTTAAAAATAGTTGTACAAAATGCAAGTCAAAGTTTCCACATGTAACAAAACCCATTTTTGCTTGCTCCTTGTTAAGTTTTTGTTTTCATCACTGAAAACTCGAAAGGAAAATAATCTGTTATTGGAGGATTAACTATTTGACTCAATAACTCATTAAAATTCCTACACCTTGGCAGGCTAAGAAATATTGACTTTTTCCTGACCCATAATAAACTAGAAGGCCAAAAGTGTCTCTGGGCAGTTTAAAAAGTACAGTCCCTCAGAGGGAGATCTGAATATCCTTTATTCACTTCACTAATTGTTCAGCACGTCTCTTCAAACTATTCACAGCAATACACATATTGTGACCTCTACATGACCTACTGTCAAGGTCATCTGTCATTACAGTATCTATTGTTCATTTGTCAGAACAAAGGTTGCGTGAGTGAAGAAACCCTCTTAAACTTTCATTATTATAGTTGCTTGGCTTGTTCAAAAGAATGTGGCACACTAGGAAATGCATATCAGCATTTGCTGGTGCAGTTTAAGGTAAAATATTTATTTTAGATTACATTTTTTGTGTTTTGTTTGTTTGTTGATTCAGGTAAGATCATTGATCTCCCACCCCTTCTACAAAAATCGGAACTAAATTAGATCTGTTTCTATGCTTTCTTCTTCGATCCCAGATATCCTACAGAGTGATCACCCACACGGAGTCCACAGGCATTCTTTTGCAGGATGGAAAAGGTTGCGTTCCTGCAAATCCTGGTTGCTCGCTTAACACGGTAACCTTTCCTGGATTGTGTGGATGTGCTGGGTTGTGGAGGGGATTTTAGTAATGTTAAACGATCCACCCCTACACACACACACCCATCCTTCAGCGAGGCTAGATTTCTAACTAGTACACAAAGCAGAGCTGGTTACTTTGCTCTCTGGTATATATTCTGCAGTGTGTTGCTAACACTAGCTGGGAGCTGCATGCTGCCCTTTTTGAAGAAAAAGCACACACTGCCCCCATTGCATATTTATTCCCCCCCCCCCCACTCCCTGCCCCAATCCATCCTGAGCCATCCTTCACTACTATAGCCACTCTTAAAACATAGTAGCTGTGTGCCCCGCCCACCTCATCATTATGGCTGGATAGGCAAGGACAAGATTTCTACCTTAGCATCAGCTTGATCTTTTTTGTCTTTTGTTGGTTTCTCTCATAATATCTGCGTTCTTGAAAAACAAACATTTGTGTTCCCATTGTAATGCAAATATTACTGACCTTTAATGCTGTGACCAAGTTTGGGTAAGTAACGATATATATAAGACCTCTAGGTACCTCAAGCCTTGCCTATTCTACATACAACAAAATGATCATTTAAAACATTTCTGGCTTTTGTTCATGGATAGATTTATGCCATTCTACTGGCCATGGAATTCCTGATGGTAACTTTTGTGCAGGCTAGATTCCAGTAACTGCTTGAACCCCCCTGTGGTCGATTTAGTGAGTCTTCACTAGACCCACTAAATAGACTCCCCAGTGGATCCATCACCTCAGTGGCGATCCCCGGTAAGTGTAGACATACCCTAAGTTAACTTAGACAGCACTACTAATAAAGAATAGTTATGACCAAGATTTAGGTCCATCAAACATGAGTGAGTAAACATTAAGCAGTCATGAGATAAGAGGGAAGGTCCTCTTATGGCTCAGTAACTGGTTAAAAGACAGGAAAAAAAGGGTAGGTATAAATGGTCATTTTTCAGAATGGGGAGAGGTAAATTGTCATGTCCCCAGAGATCTGTATTGGTACAGTGCAGTTTAACATATTCATAAATGATCTGGGAAAAGGGGTAAACTGTGAGGTGGTAAAAACTGCAGACGATACAAAATTACTCAAGATAATTCAGTCCAAATCAGATTGCAAAGAATTACAAAGGGGTCTCACAAAACTGGGCGACTGGGCTAGAAAATGGCATATGAAATTCAATGTTAGTAAGCGCAAAGTAATGCACATTGGAAAAAGTTTCAGAGTAACAGCCGTGTTAGTCTGTATTCGCAAAAAGAAAAGGAGTACTTGTGGCACCTTAGAGACTAACCAATTTATTTGAGCATGAGCTTTCGTGAGCTACAGTAGCTCACGAAAGCTCATGCTCAAATAAATTGGTTAGTCTCTAAGGTGCCACAAGTACTCCTTCACATTGGAAAAAGAATTCCAACTATACATGCAAAATGATGGGATCTAAATTAACAGTTAACACTCAAGAAAGAGATCCTGGAGCCATTGTGCATGGTTCTCTGAAAACATCCACTCAATGTGCAGCAACAGTTAAAAAAGCTAATGGAATGTGAGGAATAATTAGGAAAGGGACAGATAAGACAGAAAATCATAATGCCACTATATAAACCCACATCCTGAATACCGCATGCAGATCTAGTCACCCCATCTCAAAAAAGATATATTAGAACTGGATAAGATACAGAGAGGGCAACAAAAATGATTAAGGTTATGGAATAGTTTCCATTTGAAAAGAGATTAAAAAGACTTTTCAGCTTGGAAAAGAGATGACGAAGAAGGGATATGATAGAGATCTATAAAATCATGAATGGAGAAAGTGAAAGTGTTATCTACTCCTTCACATAACACAAGAAACAGGGATCACCCAATGAAATTAATAGTCAGCAGATTTAAAACAAACAAAAAGAAGTACTTCTTCACACAACACACAGTCAACCTTTGGAACTCGTTGCTGGGGACGTTGTGAAGGCCAAAACTATAATGGGGTTCAAACAACAATTAGATTATTTCATGGAGGATAGGTCCATCAATGGCTATTAGCCAAGATGGTCAGGGATGCAACCCCATGCTCTGCGTGTCCCTAGCCTCTGATTGCCAGAAGCTGGGTTTGGACAATGTGGGATGGATCACTTGATGATTGCCTGTTTTGTTCATTTCCTCTGAAGCACCTGACATTGGCCACTGTCAGAAGATAGGATATTGGATCATTGGTCTGACCCAGTATGGTCATTCTTATGTTTTTATGAGTAGGAGGATCTCAGTCATACAAGAGGAATCCTCACAGAAGTCACCAATTGTGGCACTGGAACAATGGTCCCGGTGGCACAAAACTTTTGCTTGTTTCAGCTGTGATATTCTCTTCCCCTTATTTATAATTGGAACATGAATATTTATTTGCATTATAGTAGCACACAGAGACTCCAATCAGGAGCAGGGAATGACTATGGTAGGCAATGTAGAAACATAAGGGAAGACAAG